TTTTTCCCTACAACATCAAATATGACATGAAAGACAGAATATAAAAGAATGTTAAATCTGGCCCACATCAAGGAGAAGGGAGACAGGCCTCCCTAGTCTTCTGAGGAGCAGCATACTCAAACAGGGATGAAGGGATTAAGAATAGCCAGAGGTAGAGGCCCTCTACCGTACTATCCCATACAACTTTGCCTCAGAGGAAGAGGCCCATTTTATGGAAAAGATGAAACAGTGGTGCATGACCATAAAATTCATAGTCTTACCACAATATTCCATCACCTAGAAACACTGGACTAATGTAAACCACAGACTCTAGTTAATAATAATGTGTCCATATTTGTTCATGTATTGTAACAAATAAACCACACTAATACAAGATGTTAATACTGCGGAAACTGCATGCCAGGGATAGATAGGTATATGGGACTTTCTATACTATCTATTCAATTTTTTTTAAAAAAAGATTTTATTGGGGAATTGGGGGAGAGGAACAGCGTTGGGGAACTGGGAAAGCAGAACAGACAAGTTGCTGTCCTTTTGTTTTTTAATCTAGTTGTGGAGGACGTGGCTTCACTGGCCCATGTTGGTATCATCATTGTGCTCTTCCTGGAGGAGGCAGATGGGTCGCTGGCCACTGGACAGCCGCTCACGTTAGCTTACCGGAGCCCACTGCACTCCACTGCAGCCTACGCCATCGCCAGCGGCTCATGGCAGCCCAGCTCCAGGTCGAGCTGTTGTTCACCATCTTAGCTGTAGAGGGCGCAGCGTCATTGGTCCTAATGTGGGATCTGAACTGGGGCCATGTTGCTCAGAGCTGGTGTCCCAAGCCAACTCTTAACCAACGCACCACTCAGCTGGCCCTCAATTTTTTTTTTAATAAATCTAAAATGGGACTAATAAAAATGTCGTGTTAATTAGCTTTTAAATAATTATACCCTATAGCAATGTCACCTCTTTCACTACTGTTTTTGATCATTTTTATCTTTTCTCTTTTTTCTTCTAATCATTCTGGCTGGTGGTTTATGTTATATATAGTATTATCAAACAACCATTTTGGATTTCATGTACTCTTTCAAAAATTTTCCCTATTTTATTGATTTCTCCTTTGATCTTTATTTTGTTTCTTATTTTGGGTTTCATTTGCTTTTCATTTCCTAATATGTTACATTACAAGCTGAGGTCATTGTCCTGAAAACTTTCTTTTCCAATCAATGTGTTTATTTTAATAAATTTCACTCCATGCACTGGTTTAGGTGCATCCTACAAATTTTGATATCTTGTGATATCATTTTTTTAAATGTCTAGATTGATTCTCATTTCCCTTTTGATGTTTCTACTGTGACTTATACATTATTTGTTTCTTTTTTTTTATCCTTTGAACATATTCATAATAGTGGCTTCCAAGTTTTTTTCTACTAAATCCAACATCTGGGCCTGTTCAGCATGGGTCATGCTTTCCTGTTTATTTACAAGTTTTGTAAATTTTTTTTTAGGAAATTAGAAATTTAGGATAGCATGTTATAGCAACTCTAAATTCTGAGGTGTGTGTGTGTGTGTGTGTGTGTGTGTGTGTGTGTGTGTGTGTGTGTGTGTAACTTGCCTGGACTTAAACTGTGTAATCTATTTCCCCCATGGTGAACAACTGCTGATGTTTCTGCTCAGTTTTTAAATTCTCACTTTTATATTTTTTTGCCTGGTTTGTGAGGGCTTGGTCCTATGTCTACATAACGTAGTGCTCAAGCAATGATTTGTAAGAATTTCATCCTTTGTAGATGTGTGGGTTGGAAATATACTCAGGAAGTTCTCATTGTCTTCCTTGGACTTCGCTATTTCACTAGGATCTCTCAAGTCTTCCCCAAGTCTCTCCTCACATGGTTTCCTGTGAGGTATTTTATCTCAGCCATTTGTTGGCTCTCTCCATTTGTATTAGTCAGGGATCTCTAGAGAAACAGAATCAACAGTATATCTGTCTATATAGCTCTCTCTTTCTCTCTCATTTGGCTATCTATCTATCTATCTATCTATCTATCTATCTATCTATCTATCTACCTATCTATCATCTATCCTTCTACCTACAATAGTAAGAGAAGAGGCTGATTTAAGGAATCAGCTCACATGACTGTGGAGGCTGTTAGATCCACAAACTGCATGGTAGTTTGGCAGCTGGAGACCCATGGAAGAGCCAATGTTGCAGTTCAAGTATGGAGGCTGTCTGCTGGCGGAATTCCTTGTTGCTTGGGGGAGGTCAATCTTTTTGTTCTATTCAGGCTTTCATCTGATTGGATGAGGCCTACCCACAGGAGGGAGGGTATTCTGCTTTATTCAAAGTCTACTGATTTAAATGTCAATCTCATCTAAAAACACCGTCACAGAAACACCTAGAACAATGTCCACACACTTGGGCACTGTGGCCCAGCCAAGGTGACACAAAACTAACCTTCACAGCATTAAAATCCTGGCTAGTGTGCCACTTGCACCAAGTGGAACCCCAACCTTGGCCTACTGAGTGTCACCCTATTCATTTCCTAACAAGCCCCCCTTAAATAGCAACCCATGGCTTTTTACCTGTTGTCCCGAAGAGAGCCTGACTTTCTGGGGGCAAAGCCAACGGGTTGGGCAGCCAGCCCTAACTGGGGGAATCCTGCTGTTCCCCCGATCAAGCTGTGGAGTGGGTACTGGAACAGTCCAGGCAAGAAGCCACACACGCCCACTGTTCTCACTGGAGGCGTGTTCGTTTTATTCAAGAATAAATGTATCTCAATTTATGGTCTACCTTTGGTTGATTTCCAGTGGCCTGACTTGGTTCATTTTGACAAGCTTGTTCAGCATTATAGTTTTGTTTTTTTTGGTGGAGATGAGTTGCTTACATCTTTACCCATCATCTTTAGACGTACCTCCAGCTTCATGTGTTTAGAAGCTCTGTCATTAGGCACACACACATTTACAATTGTTATGTCTTCCTAATGAATGAGCTGAGCCTTTTATCATTATGAATATCCTTATTTATCTCTGGTAATACTCCTTGTCTTGAAGTCCATTCTATCTAATGCTAATGTAGGAACTCCAGTCTTATTATACTCACTGTTTTCATGGCATCTCTTTTCTCCATCCATTTACTTTCAATCTATTTATATCTTTATATTAAAATGTCTTATATACAATCTGTAAATAGGTCCGGCTTGTTCTTAAACTCATTCTGATAGTCTTTGCCTTTTAGTTAGAATGTTTCATCTACGAACATTTGTTGTAGTTAGTGTGCTTGGATTTGTGTGCCATTGAACAAGTTTGTTTTCTGTTGTGTTCTTTGATTTTTGTTTTCTCTGTCTTGAATTTCTTCTTCTGGATTATTTTCCTTTGGAATTGTGCTTTATTTGCTGAGGAGAATAGCCATTCTGACAGCTTCAGGAAATCAAGGAAAGGCCAATATTTGCATACAGAGAAGGAGAGGTTTTTGTACTCTGTTTAAGAAGGTTCAGGTGACTTGGAATTTCATGTTTTACCCAAATGTCTCCAACTGAAACCTCAGGGTCCCACTTCTCAATTAGTGACTCACCCTTAACATAAGAGACTTTGGCAGGACTGTGTGTTCATTTTGCATCATTATGTACATCTTGAGAATGTACATAATTAGGTTGAGAATCTGGACCTCAGTTCTGACTACTCTGCAGGTATAAAAATAAGAGATTTCTTTTAGGGCTGCTATAGGAGCTCTGTGGTTCTATGGCTGTAACTTGAACTAGAAATGTAAAGACCTGAGCTTTCTGAATGTACCCCAGTACAGTACATCCCACCCTATAGTTTCTTTAGTCATCATTACTGCCAAAACACCTGACTGCAGCAGCTACTTAATTTCCCCAAATCTTGCTATCTGTCAGTGCTTTGTTCCAAGCAGCCACATATGATAATATAAGCCATTTTGGTGCTCCAACATGCCATGGAGTCCATCTTCAAAAAGACCCCAATGTATTTGGGTTCAGACATGTGAGCAACCCATTTTGGATTCCTATCTGAGGATCTGTTCCCTGAGATCACTCCTACCAAGGACTGCATAGGAGGGACCAATCTGCAAAACACAAACCACTCTAACAATTTCAACATAGGGGATTTGTTACAAAGAATTAGTTACATGGGTGGTTGAAACAGGTGAAGGATTCCGAGATTAGCAAGTGCAGAAAGTGGCTACCTTTCATAGGGCTGAAGATACAGCAGTTGTTACTATAGCCCATATTCTGAAACCCTCCTATGGGAGTAATATCTATGATGGGAATTGTACAGAGATTGGATCCAAAGAAGGGCTGACTGTAGCTGCGTGGCCTGTACAGCTCCTGACTACCAAGATCCCACATCTAGATCAGTTGATGTGTGGATTGGGTCATTTGTTCCCGGACTGGGCAGTTCTCAGTGCCTGAGGCTCCTCCTGCACTAACGTATAAGCGTCTGTAATTGTCTTTTAAATAATTTGTAATTGCCTGTTTCTCTCCAGGCCTTTCCCCTCTCTTACTCTTCATCTGACTGAGTGATGACCATAGTTCTCTGAGATTAGGAAGAGTGAGAGAGGTATGAGGCTACGGGACGGTGAGAAGCCACACAATGCACTTTTGAAAAAAACTAGATAATGTAGCAGGTATCGGTGTTCAACCAAATGTTAAAATCATAAAGCCCTTCTATTCCTGTAAACAGACTTCTTCCATTGCAAGTGTGACTCGAACCATAGACGTTTTCAAAAAAATGATGGGACTATAAAAGTGCTGCTACTGGGCGCCAAGTGCTCTCAGAGCAAGTCAGTGGCCGTCTGACCCTCGGGGGCGTTTGGGACGTCTGAGGGTCTGCGTCGTCCTGACCCTTGGAGAGGTTTGGGGGTCTGGGTCCCCGGTAACACCATGCAGGGAGAGGCTGAGGCGCTTGGTGCCGGAACTCTCACGGCCTGGCGGCGGTGATCCGGGGAACGCGCGGCGAAAGCACCGGGAACTCTTAGGACAGAGCACGGGAGGCCCCGAGCGCCCGGAAGAAGCGGGGCTTTGTGGGAAGGACCCGCGGTTTCGGCGGGTTCCGTTAAAATGGCGCCCTTGTCGCCAGTCGTGCGCCCGGGGCCTTAGCCTATTGGGGACACCGGGAGCCCGCAGGGCACGGGGCGGGTGGCGGGGCGCGGCGGGGCCTCCTGAGCGCGCCAGGGTCGGGGCGGGCGGGCTAGGGCCCGCGGCTCCACGGCCCCCCGGGGGTAGTCCCGGGCGAGGATGGCGACCCCCGACCAGAAGTCGCCGAACGTCTTGCTGCAGAACCTGTGCTGCCGGATCTTGGGCAAGAGCGAAGGTAGCGGGGTTGGGCCGGGTGTCTCGAGATACCAGGCGTGTCCTGGAGGCTGCTCTCTGCGCGTGCAGCTCGGCAGCGTCCAAGGGACTGGCTGGGCCGAGGCAGGGTGGTCCCCAAGTTCCACAGGGCGGCCCCCAAGTTCTGCAGCCGGCGGTAGTGGTACCGCGAAGGGCGCGTCCTGCCAGCGGCGTGCTGCAGCCTCCGGGGCGGAGGGATGGGAGGGTCGGGGTCCCCCAGGGCGGAGGGAAGGAGGGCAGGATCTGGAGCTGAGTCACCGCACCCTCCGCTCTCCGTTTCCAAGAGTGAAGCCAGGGAGGACATCAGCTTGCAAACGCTCCCACCTTCTTCTCTAAAGTCACTATTTGGGTGGAGAGAGCGGTGAACTGGTTCCCCAGACAATGTGCTGAGGGTGACACTGCGGAGCTAGAGGCCAGGTGCTGGCGAGCCAAATCATTTCCCTTTTCTCTTAGGAAAGTGTAGCAGATTTGCATATGATGCGAAGGGGGTGTTTACGACTTTAACTTGCCATATTTTTCTGCTGTAAAGGGCTGAGGATTGGATTTGGCATAAAGCTATTCCTGGAGAGTTCACATAGCGAATACTGCTACCAAAGGCCTACCCTGTGCTGTATATAAAGCCATTCCGTGGTCGTGGTACTTTTGAAAAACGGCACTACATGTCGTTTCTTGATATTTGCTTTGGTGGGAGGGAGGGGGGAATGGGGATGCACCGTGAATGAATTTTCTGGGTAATTGAAGCAACTGGATTACTTATTTCTTGAGGACCACAATGTGGAAAAGAAATTGTGCAATTTTGTGGGAAGACTTTAAACAAAATTATATTTAAAATATTGAGACTGCATTTTGGCCTTTAGTGATTTGTGACAATTAGCGTATATAATTTATTTGATGTGATAACCTTAA